CTTCAGCCCAAGGCTAGCACTCTACCACTTGAGCCACAACGCCACTTCTGGCTTTTATGCTTTTTGCTTATGTGGTGCTGAGGAATCGAACCCAGGGCCTCATGCATGCAAGGCAAGTGCTCTACCACTGAACCACCTCCCCAGTCCTCTTGAATAGTTTAGATTACAGGTATGAGTCACTGGTACCCAGCTGAATATAGAACTTTCTGATCTCAATCCACAAGTTTCTAAATAAATTGGCTCTTGCTATGTCATTAGCCTTATCTCAAACATGCTAGCATATTCTATCACATTGACATTTCTGCTCCAACATCTATATTAAAAAATCTTTAAGGGCTGGGAAGGTGGCTCAGTGGTAGAGCGCTTGCCTTGCATGTCTGAGGCCCTGGGTTCGATTCCTCAGCACCACATAAGCAAAAAGAATAAAAGCTGGAAGTGGTGTTGTGGCTCAAGTGGTAGAGTGCTAGCCTTGAGCTGAAGAGCTGAGGGACAGCACCCAGGCCCAGGGTTCAGGCCCCACAGCCGGACCCAAAAAAACAACAACTTTAACTGTTATTATAAAGGTGATATGTAGAGAGTTTACAGTTACGTAAGCCAGGCAAAGAGTATTTTTCTTTTTGGACAGTGTCACCTTTTCCCTCACTCTCTTCTAGTTTTTCCCTTCCATCTCCACCCACAAGTTGTATAGTCCATTTTCTTTCTTTTCTTTCTTTCTTTTTTTTTTTGTTGGTCGTGGGCCTGAACTCTGGGCCTGGGCACTGTCCCTCAGCTCTTCAGCTCAAGGCTAGTGCTCTACCACTTGAGCCACAGCACCACTTCTGGCTTTTTTCTTTTTGCTTATGTGGTGCTGAGGAATCGAACCCAAGGCCTCATGAATGCAAGGCAAGCACTCTACCACTGAGCCACCTTCCCAGCCCCCCATTTTTTGTTCATTTTCAACATAGTGTCCAATGAGTCCCATTGTTGCATTGGTTCATCCTTTATCCCTCCATTTCTGTGCCTCCATATACATTCTGAAAGACATATAAACGAACAAAAAGAACCAAAAGGAAAGAAAAGAAGAACAGCAAAAAAGAAAAAAAACCCTCTTGTTTGCTTTTCCTGGAGTTCATTTCGATAAATATTATTTTGTATGATCAGATGCACATAGGCTTTGTGCCTTTCTGTTCCTCTCCTACTAACCTCCACATTTTAAGACCAGCACTAGCTCTTTTGGAATCCTATCTTTCCCATTCATACTCACTTGGCTGGCTCTTGTGTTTTGTTATTTTCTTTCAATCCTTTCTCTAGAGAGTACTTCTTCCTCTATCCAATGTAAAGTGCTCACCAACCCAAGCTCTGTCATATCCTCCTATTTTCATTATCCCAGGAGCACTCATTATCTACTTTGCTTATTGTCTGTAATTTTCTGTTCTTTCCTGCTAGAATGCAAACTCTCTAAGAACCATGGCCTTGCCTTTCTCCCCTTAATGCCCAGCATTTGGCCTAGTGCCTGGCCTGTTGAAGGTACTTAGCAAATGTTTGTTGATGAGTGAATAAATAAATGAGGTAAGGAAAGAAAGAAGGAAAGAATGAATGAAAGAAAGGAGGAAGGAAAGACAGAAGGAAGAAAGAAAGGAAGGAAAGAATTAATGAATGAAAGAAAGAAAGAAGGAGGAGGAAAGACAGAAGGAAGAAAGGAGGGAAGAAAAGAAAGAAAGGAAAAGGAAGGAAGGAAGGAAGGACGGACCCCTGGACCATAGTCAGAGAATATAGATCTTGTCCTTTAGCTCTGTGTTCATAAGTAATGTTACTGATTCATTCAAGCACATTTCTGTACCCTATACTCCAAAGAATATTAATGGTTAAGCAGTGTCCTCTAACCAGGCTCTGGTAGCTCATGTCTGTAATCCTAGCTACTTAGTAGGTTGAGATCTGAGGATTAGGATTCATAGCCAGCCAGAGTAGGGAAATCCATGAGACTCATCTCCAATTAATCACCAAAGCTGGAAGTGGAGCTGTAGTTTAAGTGGTAGAGTGCTAGCAGGGATGACACTCAGACCCTGGTTCTAACCCTAGACCTACCTACACACAGAAGAAGGAAGAGGAGGAGGAAGAAGAAGGAAGGAGTTGTCCCCTACCCTCAGAGATCTCATAGTTCTTATGAGACACAGATAATCATGGACTCAAGGGTACTAGAAGAAGCCAAAAGTAGGGCCCCTCCGTCCAGAGAGGGACACAGTGTGTATAGAGATAAGGGGAAAGAAATGAGGTAGAATAATGAGGAATGGCTGGAGCCCCAAAGTTGAAAGTAGGGAAGAGGGAAGGAAGGAAAAGAGGGACTAGAAGGAAACAAGGGTAAAGGAAGAAGAGTTGGAGAAAAACTTGAACTTTGTGTTTAGGACCCTTCTGTTTGGAAACTTGGAGAGGGAAGAGGTCTTGTTTCCTTTTACAACCTTCTCTTGCCCTGGTTCTTAAGTCCTGGTCACCTGCATAGGCCCATGTTGTTGTCCCCCTGCTCCCGGCTTTATAGTTTAATAGGATCTCTGAACTCACTTGATAATCTCCATTCACACAGGTGAGGAAATCAAATCCCAGAGCCAAAGGATTTGCATGGAGCTGCCCATCTAGGATGAGAACTGTTTGTCCCATGGCTAGTGTTTTCCATGCCCTACCACAACCCTGTCTTACCCGAGGTGTGTCTTCTTGGGCAGACTATGCTCTTCTGGAGCCTGACATCTTCCAGGTGGCTTTCTGCCATGTTCTTTGCCCCAAGAGCCTTCAAACTGTTGGTGCCACTGATGGCTCCAGGCCATGCTGACGACATCTGATCTGACTCCGAGTATTTATTTTGAAAGTCAATGTAGTTGAGCTGCATGTTTCTTGGCAGAGCCTAGCTGGCAATGAACTTGGCCCGTGGTGGTGCCTGGCTCGCTGATAAGATCCAGAAGAGGTCCTGTTGTGTTGAGAGGATTTCCTTCTCCTCGAGCCTCTGGTGAAGGGTGTGATATACATGACTTGCTACTAAGGGACTTGAGATGAAGGGAGGGAACTGGAGGGGGTCAGCTCCACTGAGCTGGGCAAATGTCTCTGCTTCTCTGGGCCACCTGTGCCACCAGGAGACAGTGCTACCCACCTCACAGAGTCCAGGAGAGTTACTGAAAGATCTGAGAAGTCGGAGAAGTGCATGCGGCTGGGCCACCAGGAGGAGTAATCATGATGTTGTATGGCAATGGTACTGAGTGGAGCGGCCAGAGTGGGGTGGTGCTAGCCCTGGCCTCAGGGTCCTGAGCTGACCGAGGCTGACTCCACAAGAACAGTAGGCAGATGCCACTGTTCTCAGCAACAGAAACTCAGCTGGGTTTCTAATATCAATAACCATTTTATGGTTAATGCTTATGGACCATGGTACTAGGCACTCTGCTTTGTAGACAACTGACCCCAGGAAGCAGAATATTATCCATGTGTCCTAGACAAACAAATGGGGCCAGGAGACATTCAGGAATACAAGTCAGGCTTGTGAGTAGCAAATCAGGTATAGCTGATTCCCAAACCGCTGTTGATATCTCATATCCAAAAATGCAAGCACACCATTGGGGTAACTATTGGCCAGCCTGAGGATACATTACCACAAAATGCAGAGTGGTGGTGGAGGGTGATAAAGAAGAAGAACAGGTGTGCTGGCTACACCTGGAACACCCATTGCAGTGCCGTGGCACCAAAGAGTCTGTGAACTGGACAGAGCACCCATGATTGGAAGGGATGGCCGTTTGCTTTTGGATGAGCCACTGACAAAACCTGATTAAAAGGTTAGAGTCACACATCTTTGCATGTGAATCCATGTTCTGTAGTTAGATGACCCTGAGCAATTTACCCGGTCTGTCTCCCCCGTGATCCTCCATTGTGAACTGAGTGTAGAAGTTCTTGTCTTAGCACCAGCTCCTGCTGCTGTAAGGAGTAAAATGAGCCAATGTATGAATCCATCAATCTTCTCCTTCTACCATTCCTGTGAGAATCTTAGACCAACGATGGAGATGATTTCCTGGGCAGGGTCATGGCCATGTGGCTTCCTTTTGGAATGTACCCATTGTACTACAATCAGCCCTCGGATGTGGCACCATTGGTTGATAAAACCAGTTATGTAGATGATCCCTAAAGTCTACTTTGAGTAGATCAAGACTCCCAGGGGAATGTTGGAAATGTGTAACATGAAGGACAAAAGATGGGAATGTTGGGTAGGGAAGATTCAGGGGCTGGAAAGCAGACTTGGATCTGGAAGAGTGAGGTGCTTCCTCTATTAGAGTTTATTTTCATCTGTTTGTGTTGGTATAACAAAATCCTAAAAACTGGGTAATTCACAAAGAACAGAAATTCATTTTCTCATAGTCCTGAAGGTGGTAAGTTCGAGGCCAAGACACTGGTGGGTTCAGTTGTCTGGTCAGGGCTGTTCTCCACCTCTGAGGTGCTTAACTTGTGCATTAGGATGGAGGTGAGGCAATGCTGTGTCCTCCCCCCATGGTGGAAGGCTGAGGACAAGAAGGCTGAAGTTCCTCTGAAGCTCTTTTGTAATTATGAGCACCCTTAGTCCTATTCCTGACAATGGACCCCTCGTGACTCAATTATCACCTGAAGGTCATACCACTCCATTCTGTTGCATTGGAATTAAGTTTCTACGTGAACTTAGGCGGGGGTACACCATCATTCAGACATATGATGGAGGAGTGAGTTGAGTCTGGAGGAGTTGAGCTGAGGGCAACTCTTTTAGTTCTTTTGCAATTACGTGGAGTGATTGATTGGATCTCTTACAATCCTGCCTAGAATCTGGAGTATAAAACAGAGGAGCGCCCTCTTGGGACTATTGTCTGGAGAGTTTCTACTTGTGACAGGTTGAAGTTTTAATTAGGAGGTCATGTGGGTTATCTTCCTGATCCCTAAAGGACCCCTAAAATGCTGCTTGTCAATGCAAAAATCTCTGTGCAGGGAGAATAGTTGAAGAACTCATGGAGGCAGACTCAAAGGCTTTAGGGGGAGCGGGCTGTTGCTGAAATGCCAATGGTGAGGCCACTGGGAGGAGTAAGCATGAGGTGGGTTGGGCTCAGAGAAGGCACTGTGAGGCCTGCAAGCAGCCTGGACTCGGGGACCTGGCGATGGTCTTGGTTAGTAGTGGGCACACAGCATTCCACGAGTAGTCCATGCTCAGTCTTTAGTTGTTGAATGCATGAAATAGGGAAGCATATATGTAGTTTACAAGGTGAAATGGAGTGTTGTAAGCTCATTTTTCACTTAGCAAAATAGCTTAACTATACCCAGGCCATTCTATCTTCTTTTTTTTTTCTTTCTAAACACAACTTTATTTACTGACTGAATAGTACCACTGAATGATAATAATCAACAAGATCATAGCCAATTCATGGAGTTTACATTTATGGACACCTGAATTATTTCCGATCTTTTTGGAATTACTCAAAGATACTGTGATGGGTAACCTTTTATTTGTATCTGTGGAGATATATATATATATATATATATATATATATAATAAATAAAATTACTTCAGATCAATCTCTAGTATTGGCATTACAAGTGGAAATGGAAGTGATACTTTCAATAAGACTTTTGTTAACATACTACCAAATTGTTTAGAAAGTCTCTTTCAACTTGGAAGCCATAAATGATAATGATCATTTTTACTCTTTATATATCTAGGAATTGCTCATTTTATTGGGGAAAAAACCTACCACCTTAACAATTTGGTAGAAAATAGAATATAGCTTTAAATCTCTGCATATTAAAGCAAATAAAATCCCAGTTTTTCCTAGTAGATTTTAAAAGTTGTCTTCTTATAACTTCCATCTACAGCTTCCATGTCACATAGAACAAATTCTTCATTTCAAGAGAGCTAGCATGCCCCCAGCTTCTTTTTAAACTCATGCTCTTTTTAATCATATTCCTTTGTTTCTGAAGATGCATTCTCATTATTAAAAGTTGTTCCTCAACTATGATTTTCCAGATCTCTCTTCAGAAGATTCTCATCTTCTGAATTTGGTCCAGTTTGTGTCTAACCTTCTTCTTGAACCTGGTGCTCAGATATAGTTCTGGACTGTGCTACCCAGTTTGGCAGGCCAGGACGATACCTTCTTTATCTTAGAACCCTCTTGTTGATTGTGTAGCCTAAGTACACATTGACATTACTTCTTGGAGTTAATTTATTTTAAAATTAAATATAAATTTTTTCTGTTACAAAGGAGTCAAGCAAAATATTAACATTCTCATCAACTTTCCTTCATTCTAATTTTATTCCTCATCCTAGAGTCCATTTTTCTTCATCAGCATGTATAAACATGCATTTACACTTGAGAAATTTATCTTTATATGTTCATTTTCAATCTGTAGTTTGCTTTCCACTTAACAGTATTTCAAAAATTGTTCCTGGCATTATATCTAAAAACATGACTATGCAATTTCTCAGTAGGGGTCTACCATAATTTGTCTTTTCATCCAACTTTCTACTTAGCCACTTTTATTACCATTTTTATTTTTACTATCACAGTTAATGCTATAGTGAATACTCTTGACAATTATTCAAGTATTCCTTGAAATTACCAGACATATCTATTTGAAACAAAACAATTACAAATTTAAAATTTTTGATTATTGCCAAATTGCCTTTCAAAAAGGTACCAGTAAGAGTTCCCCAATTTCACTACATTTTCATTGGCAGATAGAATCAATATTTATTTATTTGTTTGTTTGTTTAGTGCCAATACTAGGCCTTGAACTCAGGGCCTAGTGATCTTTCCTGGCTGTCTTCAAGCCAAGATACTGAGATTTCAGCTTCCTGAGTAACTAGGATTATAGAAATCAGTGAAGGGAACCTAGCTTTTTCTTTTTTTAAATCAAACTGATAACTTAGATTAATATATAAATAATTTCATATTTTACTAGTAAAATAGAATAAAATTGAATAAAATAAAGGCTGTTTTATTGCTGTGTTTCTGCTGTGAATTTCTTATTCATATTGCAACATTGCTAATGTAATTTCTCTTTAAAATATTTTTAAAATAAAAATACAACTTCAGCATCTTTTAAATTCTTCCTTCCCTTGCTTTCTTTACAGTTATCCCTCTTTTTTGGGGCTTGGGCACCATCCGTTTGTTCTTTCACTCAAGGCTAGTGCTCTACCACTTTGAACCATAGCACCACTTCCAGTTTTCTGGTGGTTAACATGGACTTTTTCTGCCTGAGATGGCTTTGAAGTAGGATCCTCAGATCTCAGCCTCCTGAGTAGCTAGGATTATAGACATGACCTACTGGTGCTTGGCTTCATCTATTCCTCTTATATATATATAACCTATAAATATAAATTTTTGCCCTGGTATTCTGACATTTCCAAATATTATCTTGTTTAGTTGGTTCTTTATTATTTTTCTGGATTCTCTACTTTCATATTTTTTTAATTATTCTCTTGTTTTATGAGAGCATGACTTCAAGTAACTATAAATAAGAAATATGAGGAGAAACTAAATCCTTGCATGTCTGAAAATGTATTTACTCCATCCCTTATTCTTCAATGACAGCTTTGCTGAGCATATAATTGTATGTCTATAAACATATAAAATTGTATGACTAGATAATTACATAAAATATTTTATATGAAATATACAAAGGAAATTTCAAAGGCATTTCTCTCGTTTCCTGGAATCTAATGTCCAGAGAAATATGATGGCCAATCTGATTCTGCATCCTCTGTAGGCAATCTTTTATTTCCCAAGATTTTCATCAAATTGCCTGGCCATTATTTACTACATATTTCTTCCAACCTTATTTTTTTCTCCTCTTCTGATAATTAACTTACAAATGTGAGATATTTCATATTATCTCACAAATCGCTAGATTATTTATGTCAAAAATCTTTTTATTCTTCTAGTTGGATAGTATTTTAATGACATTTCTATGGTTCTTCAATCTACTATTACATTTGTTTTTAAAAACTTAGGAATTTTTGTGTTGTTGTTATAGGATTTCCATTTGGTTCTTTTTAAAAAGTAGATTCTGCCTCTGAAATTTGTTTTATTTTTCTGAGTGTATTTTCCTTTATACCCTCGAGCCAGTTTTAGAATCTACTATAAAGTATTCACTAATTTCCATATTTGGTTTATCATCTAGTGGGTCTTCAGGGGTTGCCTAGCTTTTAGTTATGAAACACATTTTCCTGTTTCTTCCTATATCTAGTAATTTTGGATTGTGTCATAGACATTTTGAATGATGCATTTTAAGATTTTGGCTTTTGCTATAATCTTCTGAAGAATACACACACACACACACACACACACACACACACACACACACATATTTGCTTTAGCTGATTTATAACTGGATTGGACTTCAAACTTCTTTGGTGTTGCTGGACTACTTAGAGTCTGCTCTGGCTGGCATAAATCAGAAGTTAATTCGCACAGTCTATTTATAGAATTGAACTTCCTCTTTCTGGTTCTCTCCTTTCCCAGAGTTTCTTCTGTGAAACACTTCTGACCTGTACACATACCTTCAAGCCAGTGAGACTACTGGTTTGAATCCAAGTTTCAATTGCCTTTCCTGGCACTGTGTTGTGTTTAGTAGAAGAGCTCACCTATTGTTCCTGTCTTTTAAATGTTGAATTTACTTTCTGCTTTTGTTGCTGTTGTTGTCACACTTGAGCTCCTTCAGATGACTGCTTGATATATTTTGTACAGTTTTCATTTGATATCCAAAAGAGGCTTATACCAATAGGATCTATTCTATCATTATCATTTCTTCTCCTCTCCTTTCCCACCCTCTGAGTTTTGACAGACATACCTCATCTTTTGTTTTTCTGTTAATGTACACAGTGTACACACATTGAATCTTAGCTGGTTTTACTTTCATCCTTCCCTATTTCTAATATAATTTGAGGATTTTTTTCCCAAATTCTAGCCATCGTTACATATTTACTTACATTTAGAAATTACACATTTAGGAATTCTGTGTTTGGAGATTAGGCAAAACCGTCTGGAATTCCTTTTTTATTGTTTCACTGAAGTAATTTTTCAGAAAATATATGTTGGAAAGAATATAGGTGTTAACTATGATTAATGAATAAATATGTGAATGTCATAAAAATATTTAATCTTTCTGTCTTGAATGTGTTATCACTAGATTTGAGATTGTAGGTAAAAGTTATTTTCTTGTAGAAATTTATGGTTTTTTTCTATCAGTACACTTACTATCTGGAACTCTGATTCCATTTTTTTTTTTGTTAGTTTGTAGTTAGCCATTTTTTCTCCTTGTGCCTAGAAGGCTTATTTTAGGAATTTAAAAATTCTATCTTCAACTTTATGAAAAGTCTTTCTTGGGCTGGGAAGGTGGCTCAGTGGTAGAGTGCTTGCCTTGCATGCTCGAGGCCCTGGGTTCGATTCCTCAGCACCACATAAGCAAAAAGAAAAAAGCTGGAAGTGGCGCTGTGGCTCAAGTGGTAGAGCGCTAGCCTTGAGCTGAAGAGCTGAGGGACAGCGCCCAGGCCCAGAGTTTAGGCCCCACGACCGGACTCCCCCCACCCCCCCAAAAAAAAAAGAAAAAAAAAGAAAAGTCTTTCTTGATGTGTTCAATTTAAAGTCATTTTGTTTTTTTAAATAAAAATATTTTTAATTCCTTTTAAGTCTTCTTTTTTTAATTTTTTTATTGTGAAAAAACTGTACAGAGGGGTTACAATTACATGGGCAAGATAATGGGAAGGGGAAACAAAGAGGAGGCTATAAAGTCATTTTGTTTTTATTAAAGGATCTGAGTGGGTTCTTTTAATATGGTTTTTTTTCCCTCTTTTTTTATTGTGAAAATACTGTACAGAGGGGTTACAATTACATGGGCAAGATAATGAGTACATTTCTTATCAAGCATTGTAGCCTCCTCCTTTGTTTCCCCTTCCCATCCCTTCCCATCCTCACACCAAAGTTGCAAAGTTTTTGTAAAGTTTGTTTTCAACATAACGACTTGTACATCTCATTGTTGCAGTGGGTCTACCTGTATCCCTATTTAAACGATTTGTCTTTCCCCTTCCTTAATATGGTTCTTTTAACATGAGTGCTACATAGTTTTTCTATTGAAACAAAACAATTTCTCTATTCTTTCCATCTTTTCTTTTTTTTGTGTGTGGGGGGGGTCTGGTCGTGGGGCCTGAACTCTGGGCCTGGGCGCTGTCCCTCAGCTCTTCAGCTCAAGGCTAGCGCTCTACCACTTGAGACACAGAGCTACTTCCGGCTTTTTTCTTTTTGCTTATGTGGTGCTAAGGAATCGAACCCAGGGCCTCATGCATGCAAGGCAAGCGTTCTACCACTGAGCCACCTTCCCAGCCCTCTTTCCATCTTTTCTATCTCAAATTCCTACTGGGTAACATTTGTAATAATAACTTACTTCTTAGTCATATTTTGAAATGATCAATTTACATTGTATTCTGCACAAATACCTCCTCTTTGTTTTCTAAATGATCGAGTTGTTCCTCATCTATTTCATGCTGTTGTTTTGGCACTGGGGCTTGAACTTAGGGTTTCACACTCCTACTTGGCTTATAGCTCGAGACTTGTGCCAGACCTCCACTTCCAACTTTTTGCTGGTTAAATGATGATTACAGTCTCAAGGACTTTGGCTTCAAACTGAGATCCTCAGATCTCAGCTTCCTGAGTAGCTAGAATTAGAGCCCTGAGCTGTCAGTGTCCAGCCCTACTCAGAGTTTTGTGGCCAATATTTTAATTGTTTTTGTTTTCCTCTTTCCTGACTTTTCTTCTTCTTCTTCTTTTTATTAATCCATACGCAATCACTTGTCTTCTGGATTGTCAAAGCAGTAAGTTAGACAACCCTTGCCACACACAATAATGTCGGTCAAAGTGGCTAGTCACAGAAACTCCAGCGCCATATTCATCTGCAGGGCACTCTCCATGCAGATGGCTAATTTTGCCATTTTCACTCACTTTATAGTATTTTGGGACAGACAGCTTAGCCGAGTGGTGTAAAACTTTGTTTTTTCTAGCACCGCAAAGTCCCAACAGTAGGTAAAGAGTAGACTCCTTTTGAATGTTGTAGTCAGATAAGGTATTCCATCTTCCAGCTGCTTTCCCGGCAAAGATCAGTCTTTGTTGACCAGGAAGAATTCCATCTTTCTTCTGGATCTTGGCCTTTACATTTTCTATGGTATCCAAGACTTTAACCTTGAGGGTGATGGTCTTCCTTGAAAGGGTTTTGGTGAAAATCTGCATCCTGGTAGTGGTCCTACCTGAAGCCAGGGAAAAGGAAGAGGCTAGTTAGATCTGATGATACAGGGAGATAAGTGCATGAGCCGCCCGCAGGAGCCTACCCCGGAGCACATGCTCCCCTTCTTCATTTTTGCAGAGCTTAATGGTACAAATTCTAAGGTCTTTTGCTGTTGTTGTCTGGCTTGTTGTTGTTGCCAGTTACCCTAATTGTCGTTTCTGGGTTTGATATTGGCCCCTGTCACATATCTGATGATTTTGAATCATCCCTTTTCCTCTGTGTCCCAGATTCTCTGTGACTGCCTATTCTTTTGAATGTAGCATGAGAGAGAGAGAAAGAGACTTGGGGAATACCACTGTGCTGATTGCTCCTCTTGGTATTGGAATAAAGAAGATATAAGATGAACTTAGATATATCTTTGGTAAAAAAAAATGTGAAAGACCTGGAAAGCCTTTAAGATATGAATTCCTGCTGTACAAGTGATGTGTAGAAAGAATGTATATTAAAAGAAATATCCCTGGATGAGATGGAAAATGGAGGTTCAGAAACTAGGCAAAGATCAGGACTTTCAAGAAGGAAAGGTTTGGCCTCAGCCAATGGGCTCTTATTTAGGATCAACATGCACTCTTCTACCCAATTTCTGTGTGTAGCAGGCTGCAGGTGGTACTATTGGGCCTCACTAAGCAGAGCTGGTGGGGACCTGAGCGTGTGTTCATGTCCCACACCCTGTCTGTGTCTCTCAAGACCTAAGAAACACTGGAAACAAAATGAATATTGTAGAGGAGAATAACAAATTGTGGTCCTGTCTCAACAACATTATCTCGCTTGGCCTAGCTTCCCAGGGCCCACTGCAGGGTCAAGTTCCTGTGCTCACTTTTTCTGCTGTGACTGCAGACCTTTAAGAGTATAGAAAGAACATAGGCAGCGTTGGAAGCGTGAAAGGCCATTCACCACATTGATGCTGCTCTCTCGAAATGTGATGTTTTCCCCAGGATAACATCTAATTGCTACTTGAACAAACCACTGTCTTTACCTCAACAGCCCTACCCAGTAGGCCATTGCAAACATTTATTCTTCTTTGTGTGATAAAGCTTTTCCTATCTGCCTTTTCTGAATTTGCTTTTTTTGAACTTCTACTTCTGCCCCCCTCCTGTCATGGAGACAATATCAAAAGTAGCAACAAGCATTGATATTATCCACTTGCTAAAGATCTTGTATACTGCCATCTATCCCCTTCAATGTCTTTTTTTGAAGTTAGAGAGATAGAAGATTCTTTTTTTTTTAACCTTTCAGGAAGTTGCCCAATTTTCTCAGGAAATCAACTTTTGAGAAAATATTTGTAAACATTTGACTTCCCTTCAACCAAATGTTCTTGGGGGGGGGGAGAAAGGAAGAAAACGACCAAATGTGTTTTGATGACTCAACGAAGGAACTAAGTAGAGAAAAAGAGCCTTCAAAAATAGTAAAATATCCTTTAATGTGTCTGAGTGAAAAATGGAATAATGAAGCTTGTCGAGATTGCTTTGGGAGGTGAAAAGAGGGGAAGAGGAGAGTGATGGAAAGAGTGAGTCTCATCAAGCACTCATGTACACATTATGTCGAAGGGAAATCTGCTTATGCAACAAATAGATACTAGTGAAATGTACATGATAATAGCAATAATAATTAATAAAGAAGTCATATTCCTAACCTGGCAGGCTTAAGCAAATTGATATGGAGAGATCATCTGAGACCAGGCCCTCTACTACGGTATCTCGTCACGTCCCACAACCCTACAGAGAAGTCTTAATAAGTGAAGAATCTGAAGTCACGTAGCCACGGATCATGATGGCAGCCACCAGTTACAGAACGTTCACAACCTGCCGCCATCTGCCTTGCCCTACTTATGTAGCTCTCGCTCTACCCTCTGCACAGCAGGTGTGGGGGTGGGGAGGCAGTGGTATTACCCAGAGCTGTCTGATTCTGATACTATCGTTTGCCAATTTCCTATGGTTGCTTTGACAATTGTTAAATATTCCCACACAGGCTTTCTTCATTGCAAGATTACCACGGCACCCCTTAACCTTTCCTATTCTCCAAGTGCACTGATAGGCCGACGAGGCCTTGAATTTTGGAGCGCTGTCCATTGTCTTCTGTAAGTCAGAGACATTGGCCAAAGATTAATCTCTTCCTTAAAACTTTTCTCCCCCTAGCACTGAAAAGCAAACCCAGGACTTTTCACATGAAAGGCAAGTGTACTGAAACTGGATTGCATCCCTGCCCTAGCTTGAGGGGTGAACAAAACCCTAATATCAATCCTAGTGTGTACATCCCTCCAGGGCAGGGCATGAGATCTGTGCTTGCCATGTTGGGTCTACCAGTTCCCTTGCTTTAGTGATTCATTCAGGCATGGCATAAGATCCAAAGTTAATCAGAATCTTCACAGGACTTTTCTGGATGTATAACAATAATCACCTGAAGAATGTGTGTGTGTGTGTGTGTGTGTGTGTGCACACGCATGCATGAGTGCCAATACCAGGGTTTGAACTCCAGGCATTGCACTGTTGCTTGATATTTTTACTCAAGGTTGGTACTCTCCCACTTGAGTCATCCCTCCACTTCTGTTTTATTTGCTGGTTAATTGAAGGTAAGAGTTTTATGGATTTCTTGTCCCAGGCTGGCTTTTTAAACCTTGATCCTTAGATCTCAGCCTCCTAAGTAGCCAGGATTATAAGCATGAATCCCCCCCCCCCCAACTTGGTTATCTTTTGAATATAGAGATGGAGACGAGGCAGATAGTTGTTCTTGGTTCATTTAATTCCCAAGGCAAAGAAATTTCTTTTGGCTCATAGTTCCAGTGGCTGAGAGGTGCAAGAACATGGTATCAGCATCTGCCTGGCTTTGGTGAGGAATTCTTGTCTCTTCAACTTAAAGCTGAAGGGTGAGTTTGTGAATATGGAAGAATAACACATGAGGAATGAACTTGCTGCATAGCAACTTGCTCTCATAGTAGCTCATCCAGTCCTGTGAGAGTCACAGGCTACCTAAGGCAGGCACTGGTCTGTTTATGACATAATCACCTCCTACTAGGTCCTACCTTGTGATACTACAGCCTGGGAACCAAGCTTCAGTCTGAGTTTTGGTGGAAAAAAACATATTCAAGCCATACCAGTTACCACCTTCTTTGCCACATAAAATGTGTCTGCTGAAAGAGAGACAAAAAAATTAACTGTGTGTTTTAAGCTTTAATCTAGAGATCTCTCTTAAGTCATTTCTCCTCCTGGACTTCCCAGTTAGACAACAAATCCGTCTCTCTTCTTCATTGAACTGTTGTGTGTCTTTCTGCCACTTGCAAGAAGTAAACTAGTTGTTTAGAAGTGTGAGGGTGGTGGTGGTAACAAGCTTTCATTTTTAGTGTTTATCATGTACTGCAGTGAAATGACTGTTCACCACAGCAGAAGTCAAGCTGTTCAAGTTTAACAAGGGGCTTGCAAATTTCTATTTAACAATTGGCTTTTGTGAATGAGTACCAACCAGCCACACACACACACAAACATACTTGAACATATATATATATATATAGCATATATGCAATATATACATATATTGCATATACATATGTATATAAATATATATGTATATATTGCATATAGATATATATGCTATATCGTTGAGCTAGCTACATCTCAAGCAAGGAATTAAGATTTCTATGATTATTGTTTTCTGGGTGTGACTTGTAGCCACCTCCCTCTTCAGAATCACCTGGGACCCAGACCCACTCTGCAGGCTGCATGTGTAGCTCACTCTCTAGCCACAGGTATACAGTATAATCCCAGACCTGTCCTTCTCCTCTGATTGGTGCCAGTGCTTGTAGGCCTGAGGGAGCTATGCATTCCCACATGTGACTCCCGTGTGGCCGGGACCCTGGGATGTTTCCCATGGCTCAGTGACCCTCTGCCTTCTGTGAGAGCCAGGGGGGAAAGAATCAAGGGTGATGGGAGATTAATCCTCCTTCTCCTCATTGCTGCCCACCCTCTGCTCCCCTGTGGTTTCCTCCAGGCTTCGTTTAACATTTCTGACCCTCAGTTTCCATACCTATAGCATGGAGCTAGAAGTCTTCAGCCCTTAGGCTTATGGGAAGAAAAGCATTGCATTCCTCAGTGCTTGGTGTACATTATACCCAGATTATCTTTCCCTTCCTTTCCTGTCTTCTCCTGGTACCTGGATGCTCGTGTGATTGTGAAGGGCTCAGTAGACTGGAGATCTGGGGTGGAAGCCTTTTGAATCCATCTCCAGGTTTCTAGGTGATGACCTTTCTGTGGTAATATTTGTGGATGCTGGCTTGACTGTTTTTGTAGTGACGTTATCTTATTGACCTATTTCCTGAGGATGTTTCCTTGGGTTCCACAGATGGTGAGGCAGGGAATTGCTGCTGATAGAACAGGGCGACTGGTCCGAATACCCTCACCCTCTCCCGGGCAGCAGGACTCACTTCCGCCAGGGCAGTGACTCACCCCGTATTAATTGCATCGCAATTATCCCGAGGAGCCTGTGTTTCCTCTTGATGTCTCCTATCTGGTTTCCTTTTGACCTGCACAGCTGTCTAATAGAGATGGCTTTTGCGATCTCTTAGCTAATGTGGGTTCATTATTTCCAGTGCTTGCCTTCTGCCTTGGGTGGCTGGAGGTTTTTCTGCCTCTGACTTGGAGACTTTCATGAACTGAGTCTTCAATCGGGGCTTGTGCTGCCTGCATTGTCTGTGGGAGAGATTTCATTTGCAAATCAGAAGAAGTTCACAGAGTGTGTGGCGGTGTTGCTTCACGAGCCGGTGTTTTCATCTTCCTCACGTCTCTCCCCAGTCACCTCCATGTGCCTCAGCTAAGCAAGAACAAGTCCCTCTCTCCCAGACCTGCACAGCAGCCACGTAGTCAGAGCAGTAGGCAGGAATTTGTTTGCACCTTAGCCACGCTAATTATCTGCAGAGGGCTGGTGAGCTGGCCTTGTCTCTTCTTTCCACATCTTGCTT